ATGTACTAACTAATATACGAATGTACTGACTAAAGTACTAACTAATGTACGACGCGTCATGCAAGTACCACCACGTCCTTCACAATACCGATCAAGCGCCACGACCGCTTAGCGGCTGGAGAAAGCCAGGGCGCCACGATGTCGACGCGCTCGGCCACCGACATGTTTCTCCGCCGCGACGTGCTTCTGGCATCAACCAGTTCAAGGTACGACTTGGTGACTGACTGTGCATTCGAATGCGCTGGTCCTCTTCCAGCAAGGGCCTGGCTATGCGCTTATATAACGAAGCCATTTGAATCAATCGTAGGGAACCTTGTATGGTATAAAGCTCAATAGAGCAATACCGCAGCGAGCAAGCACAACCCGCGTGCAGCGATCGTGCGCAAGTTGTCTTCAACACCTCGGAGCGGTGACGTCGCCTCGTGTTGGCTCACTGGATCGATCTTCCCCAAGCTCATTTTCGTTTTCTGCGGTTGGACGACGATGGCGACGCCCGATATCCCCGACGTCTTTGACCTCCGCTCCGAGCTGCTGCCGTTCCTCGGCTTGTCCCTTCAGCTCGTCATTACCAGCATGGCACGGCTCGCCATCCTGGTCATCGATAGCGCGTTCCTCGGACACCTTGGCACGAACGAGCTCGCAGGCGCTTCCCTCGCAACGCTCTGGATCGAGCTGCCACTCTGCACCGTGTGGGGCATGGCCTCGGCTCAGATCGCGGTATGCAACTGTGAAGCATGCCAATCTCATGCAATGGATGATTAGCTCTGTGGCCAAGCGTACGGCGCGAAAAACTACCTCCTCATGGGCATCTGGCTGCAAATGGCTCTCATTCTCATCACCGTCTTGACGGTCCCGACGACCGTCTGGTACTTCTTCCTCGAAGGCATTCTGCGCCACACGACCGACGACGCAACGGTCGTTGCCTTGGGTGCGCGGTTCGCCGAGCTCTTGTCGCCGAGCATTTGGCCGCTCCTCGCCTACGTGTGTTTGCGCCAGTACCTCCAAGCCATGGGTGTCGTCCTGCCCACGACCGTCAACGGCATCGTCTGCATCGGCATCGACATCGGTGCCAACTACCTTCTCATCTACACGGCGGGCCTTGGCTTTGACGGCTCGCCGCTCGCTACCGTCATCGCTGCGTGGTTCCAGCCGATCGCGCTCTTCCTCTATGCGTTCGTCTACAAGAAGCACCACAAGGACGCGTGGGGCGGCTGGAAGCTCTCGGAGCTCACGTGGAGCCGCTGGAAGACGTTTTTCCGGATGGCGTTGCCCCTTGGGCTCAACGACGGCTGTGACTTGCTCGCAGCCGCAGCGCTCTCGTTTGTCGTTGCCAAGATGGGCGCGAACGTCATTGCCACGCAAGCGATCTTGAGCAGCGTGTGGATGATGGTCGGTGCAGTTTTCTATGGCGTCGGGCTCGCATCCGAGGTCGGGCTTGCCGAGCACCTTGGCGGTGGCCGACCGCGCGCAGCCCGTGCCCGTGCTATGATGGGCTTTGCTGTCCTCGCGCTTGCTGCAGTCCTTGTCAGCATCGTGCTCTGGCTTGGCCGCGCCGGCGTCGTCGGTCTCTTCACAAAGGACCCGGTGCTGCTGGCGATGTACACGGACGTTTTACCACTGTACATTGCAGCGTCGAGCTTGAATGGACTCGGCATCGGACTCCTCACGGCGCTGGAAGGCATGGGCCAAATGGGCTTCGTCACGATCGTGACGGTCGTCGGCCTCTGGGGTGTCCAGCTGCCACTGGCCTACTACTTTAGCATCGTCAAGGGTCTCGGGCTTCCGGGCGTTTGGACGGCGACGACGATCGCCGCAGCTGTCAAGGTGGCCATCATGGGCGCTCGGTTTCTCTGCATTGATTGGCAAAAAATGGTTCAAGAAGCCGTGTTGGGGGCCGAAGCGGACGGCCCAAAGCTCTCAAGCACGGAAGCCGCCGACCCGGCGGTCCTCGAGGCGCGCGACAGCGAGTCGATCTACATCATGACGTCGTCGCCAGTCCACAGCAAGGCGCAGGACGTCGGTCACGTGACTCTTCTTTAGGCTCCTCTTGTCTGCATTTCATCGGTCCCTTGGCGTATTTAATCAATCAATCGACTGCCACAACGCACTACTTGCATCGCCTTGGTCGTGCCAACTTTGGTTGGGATAAGAGAGCGCGCTCGTTCCAAATCAACATGGATCCAGTGCGCGTATTAGAGTAACGCACGAGGACGTAGCAACCCTAATCCCTTTCGGTTATGCCACGCCAACGTCATCACGTGTTGTGTTCACGCGGCGACGCTCTCCTCTCCGCAAAAAGGTCCGGAGATTAAGTCCATCGACTACAGCTTGATGACGACAAGGGAATAACAGGTCAATAATCCCCGTGATGATGCAAGGACAGTGAAGCTAGAGGTGATTCCGGCGTACCCAACGTTGACATGGTGTCGGAGCTAAGGTCGTAGCCACTCGCACACGACCGGCGCGTCTTCTGCCAAGCCACGCATGTCCACCGAGGCTACTGCAATAAAAGCTGATGGCTGGACAATCCTAAGCAGCACCTTTACCAACCATAACCCTAACCTCGTTCCTACTGCAAACGTTGTGGTGCATTTGTCTATTACACGTGAGAACGTGTCGATGGATGACTACGCCTTGGCGTGATGCGGCAAGAGCGTGGTCGCTTCAAGTGGCCAGGGCTCGCCAATGGGCTCCAAGACCGCGTTCGCGGGCGATGGCACGGCCACATCGACGTGCCAGGCGGCGGTGGTCTCCGACTCCATGGCAGAGATGGCCTGGAGAGCCATGACAGACCAGTCGACCGACACGAGCTTGCTGCTGAGAGCGATGAGCTTGAAGCTGGCGGTAACAGCGTATCCGAGCCAGACACCGTGGAGGCCGTAATGGAAGTGGATCGCGAGCACGTAGGCGGCGGGGACCTGCACACCCCACATGCCCACAAACGAGACGCCCGATACAAACGGCATTTGGCCCATGCCGTTGAGAACCGCTGTGAGCGTAATCTCGAGGGCGTCCAGCGCATAGGCGAGAAGGTACAGGGGCAGCACGGCGCTGCAGTGGCGGACAAGGTC